AAGGGACATTATATTAGTTTTTCAGATCAAATATAACATTCAAAAATGTCTACAAGGGATTTAATTCCCTACTCAATTAAAAAAAGAGCTACGTTATAAACTGCTACACCTTTCAGGCCCACCTTCCATAATTATACCTGATGGTCAAGAGAAAAATAACATGTAGATCCTTTCAGACATTTTGACAAATTTTCTATTTAAATAAAGATATCTGTTCATGGTAAGAAATTCGGAATGTAGGAAAAACAGAAGGAAGAAACTGCAACCGCTTATAATCACAGAACCTAGAAAAATTTGCTAGCAAAATGCACACCTCCATGTCACCTTTCCTTCAATATGCATTTATACAAAGTGAGATAGGTTAAGAGTTGCATGAGCTACGATAGTTTTTTCCTTTACTTTTCAAGCACCGTGGGACCAACACAGCATTCCACCCGTGCAGTTGTATTAAAGATGAAGCAGGGACAGGACAACACGTAGCTAGTTATTTGGTAATTAGAACCTTGCAGCAGGTGTAAAGTGAACAATGACAAACATATGTCCCCATGCTTTGCTGCCAGCGCCTAGACAATTGAGACTTGTTCCAGAGAGTCTCTGGGCTGGAGAGATCTTTTGCAGGAGTCACTGACAGTTCTGTTCTCTCAGGTTAGTAAATCCTGAATGTAAAAAAAAAAAAAAAATTATTATTGTTAAGGGGAAGGATGTCCTAAAGGAACTTTGCAGAGTCTTATGGACTCCACCCCCTACTCTGGTTTTCTGGACCCTACCACCTACTCCAGTGATTGGAAACTACAACTCCCAGCAATACCAGGGAGAGAACTACGAGGACCCCAGGGCGGAGCTAGCAGGAATTCTGGGACATTTGGGGGATAAATAAATAGGGCGTGATTGCATCTTTCACTCACTCGTTGGTTCAGGAAACAGCTTTCCTGACGGCGTGACTCAGTGTGTTCAGTCAGCCTAGCCATAAGGTATTGCAGTTACTTTGTGTCCCGCTCTCTTTCCCTGGGTTGTTTCCTATTCCTTTCCCCTTTTGTAAATAAACCTGTTATTGACCCTTTTGTGTGGACCTGCAGTGTAGCTGAATATTGAGCGTGCGGGTAAGGCCTCACAGACAGGCGGCCCAGGCCGCTCTGGGCTTCCCTGTAACATTATGACAAGCAGGAAGGCTTACGTGCCCGCCTGTGCGTGTAATTATGGTCCAGCGAGTAGCTGGAGGCCTGCTCTGTTCAGTCTAACAGATAAAGCCGCTCAGTTCCTTTTAGTTCTCCAGGCCTCTGTACCAACATCCAGCAACCAAGTTTTCACTTCCTTATGGAGATAACCACAGAAAGGTGGATATTTTAAATAAAAAGGAATGTAAAATAATTTGATTAAGAATCAGAATATTAAATGAAAGAGGATCAGTACTACCAGTTTTCCCTTTTGTCTCAATAGGCTTTGCACGGTTACTGACCTGCTCTGAACTTACTGAAGCTGAAGTGGGATTTCTGGGGTAAGGAGCAGGAATCTGTATGTCATGCTTTGCAGGTGGTTCTTTTCTTTCTTTCTTTTTTTTTTAAAGATTTATTTATTTATGCATACAAGACCAGGGGTACAAGCCAGAGGTTCGGGGGTGAGAGAGACAGAATGGGGAGCAGAATAGGTAGATGGATTGAAATACACTGTTAAAGGGAAGAGTGGGCGGGTCAGGAGAAGTCTCTGATGCATCATGTGGGTCACCTCCCTGGCCAGAGTTCAAACTCATGCTGCAGTGGCTGCAGATAGTTTCATAGTGCTGCACTTTAACCCCTTGCACCATCAAGGAGGCCCCTAAAGGTGATTCTCATACATGCTAACGATTGAGAAGTACAGGAGAGGTGGTCTCTAAAGTTATAGTTTACCATGATAACAATCCAATGAACTAGTCATTAGTTATATGTGGGAGATGTTTGTCTAACCATTAAATAATAAAATAGCTATGTCAAGGACAAATTGACATACAAAACAAACAAACAAACAAACAAACATGTAATGAGTAGTTGAGGGGAGAAAAACTTTATTCTAAGCTCAACTGATTATAGCTACAGCTCTGTTCAGGGGGAAGGAGCATTGAACAGGCACCATTCACCCTACCCCACTTGCATGCAGCCACCCTGGATTACAAATTCTAGCAATCCATGAACCGGACTTCCTGAATGGGAGAAGCTGGGAAGGAGCAAGTGGATATATAAATAGAGGTGATCAGGAGCAGGGAGAGAGACATATGGAGAAGAAACACATGAAGGGAAGTCGTGTAGAGCAGAGATATCGTCGAAGGCGCTCCTGGTCCCTAGCAGAGACGATGACAGTCGTTAGCTGGATGTGGTGTATTTTGAGTCTCTTCTGTCCCAGCTCTCTGGAGCCTGCTTAATGCCTTTTGTCATAGTTCCCTGCCAGAAGGTACTTTAAACAAGTTTTCCGGCCTCAGCAGCCCTGCTTCAAGCCAAGCCTGTTTGGGATGGGTCATTTTCAGAGTTTTATTAGTAATACCCTTTCCTCTCTTTTTTCTATGCAAACTAATTCCATTAAACATCTTTCATACTAAGAGTATGCATCTTTTGCTCTTGTGCTTGGGGCTAGCTAGCATGGATGCCTCTTTAGAATGTGCACCCTTTAACAGTATGGCGCTTCTGAGTACCCCTCAGTCATGTGCTAACACACTTACTGTAAATTTTGCCTCAAAATAGCTGACATTGCTCTAAGGCTCTGAGACAACAATTTGCCTTGATATTGACACCTCAGTCTTATTGTGTACCCAGTTGTCAATAAGACACCCAGAGCCAAGCAAAGAGTGGTGAACATGCATTAAGTCAGAACTTAATAGTCTTCCCACCTGGTGAAGAGTCCTGTGTAGTTTCATGGTGTTCTTTGTGGCAAACATTTTTGCTGCATAACACTTGACTAAAGCAACTTTTGTAATAGATAAAATGCTTGTGGATGCGTTTTTTGTTTGTCTGTTTGTTTTGGTTTTTTGTTTTTTGTTTTTTTTTAACTGAAGGATTCACTTCCACCAACTCTGGGGAATTTGCTGACATCACTCAGCTGTCAACACTTCTGCACGACCAACCAACCCCACCGACTACCTAATGCAGGCAAAAGTCCTGGCTCCCTGAGCCTTCCTGGTGTCACAGAGGTTAAAGTCTCAGCACCATCAAGCTTTCTGCAGCACGAGTTCAATCCCCAGCCCAGGAGCTGACCCACATGGTGCCGCAGACCTCTCCTGTCTCCCCGCTGCCCCCATCAGCAGTGTGCTTCAGTTAATGTGCCTGTCTGCTCCCCGCTTTGTCTCTGGGGAATCGTCTCACATCCTGCACTTATGGCCTTCATTCCAGCTCTTATGCGCATACATAAATAAAAATAAAAATCTTTAATTTAAAAAAAGTCCTGGCTCCTTGGTCCCAATTCAACTCCGAAAGGGCTCCCCAGGTTCAGACCTTCCAGCAGGATCAGCTGGGGTCTTCTTCCTCTTCCCCACCCTGCTATTTCTCTTCTCCCTTCTGCTGTCCATCCTGAGAGGCCTCCCTACTGCGTTTCCTACGCACAAATTTCACTCTGGGAGTGTGCTTTCCTGTGAAACCAGCCTGCTCCATTTCCAGAATTTCCTAATCCTGTGCTAATTAGAGGTTCAACACTTGACATATAAAGGAAGACGTACCACAAGGGGATAAAAGTGATTCAACCAGAAAGTTCTGCTGATCACGTCAAATACTGACGTCTGTCATTAGGGTGTACAGCTTCCTTCCACAGGTGGCCTGGCCCATACAAGAACGGTCAGTGTGGCGACTCTGTCTCTGCTCTGGACTGGACAACATCTCTCTTCACACCCCCTTTCCTCTAAATCTCACCCATTGAAATGGCCAGTGGGGACTGGCCGGTGGAGAACGTGATGGGGAATAAAGGATCACCAGCACTCTCAATATTTAACCCTCACCACACACGCATGCATTCTTCCCACACTGCAAGAAGCAACAGCTCTCCCACACACCACAATCTAGGGCACCCAGTGATCACATGACAGAACCTTCCCATCACAGGTGAGTCAATGCCCCAGAGGAGGGGTTGTGGGGAACCACTGTTCTCCCCCTGCTGGAGGGGAGGAAGCATCACCACAGCAGCGCTGCATGGGAAACTGTGCTTGGTAGCCTGGGAGGGGGCTGGCGGGTATTAAAAATGGAAAGCTCCATTCCCTCAGTCAGGGCTGTCCATCTTTTGCTGCATCCCTGAGGAGATCACGACTGGAGAGGGGTGACTCACTCGGCCTAGAAGGCTTCTGACCAGCGTTGGTGACTGACATGACAGGGTGGAAAGTTCTGTATAGTTCTTAATGCTTAAGCTGTGTCAAGTTAGAAAAGGTACTTCTAATTTTGACACACCACAGATGAGCCCTAGATATTTCAAGGTGTGACTAAAAGTGTTCCAAATAAAAGTGCTTACTTCACGTCACTTTTAAAATACCTCCATAGGTCACATGAGAGTTTAGGGAAAAGGAGCCATGTTTGAGCAGGCAAGTGGACCCCAATACACCAGTAGCTGCCCTCCTTCCTGTTTCTCTCCCTATAATGCTGGATGTCCGAAAGATTAGGGATCGCTAGCCTGAAGTTTCCAGCTTTGGGAGATCTCTCTTTCCCAAATACCAGCCACAAAGCAACACTGTGTCACATCCCACCTAAGTGACAAGGTGAACTGAAAATGAAAGGTCTATTAAGTTCTCTGTGACCTTCAGCAAGGTTCTCCCCCATCGTGGGTCTTGGTGTTCTGATTGAAGCCAGGAGGCTGTGCTCTCTGACACCCAGCCCAAAATTTATCTGACCACATACTTGCCAAGCCCCACCCCAAGCCACCTGGAGATTTTACTGTTTGAGTCTAACCCCTCCCATTTCCTCCTTCCCGGTCCATGCTTTGATTAAAAAGCTTCCCATCCGATGCTTTGGCACTGGGAGCAGCGCTCCTAATTCCTGCCCCAAACAGGTCTTCCCAGGATGAGAGCAGCTCCCCTCAGCTGGGTGAGGGCTGGAAGCCTGCTTCTGCTTTTCCTCTGGATAGGCGGAACTGTGGTAGCTAAGGAGCTCAAGTTTGCGACCTTGGTGAGTAGCTTGTTGTCTGTCCTTAAAACTGTTTCCAGCTTGGCCTGAAAACCAAGCGTGGTAAGCGTGGTGGTTTCCTTTCACCTTTATGTTATCTCTCAGAGCCTGAACTCACAAAGTGAATAATCAAGTTTTGCAAGTTCTTCTAATGAAGACTAGTCTAAGCTAACTAACGTGTCTTGACAAAAAGACCGGCGGTGGGGGCGTTTGCTTTGCCCTTATTATTTGTTGACTTATTTTACAACTGCTTTGAATGCAGATTCTTCCAGACAGAGGCCAGGGGGAGCCTCAGCTGTCTGTTTAGCACCAGGAGCTAAATTGGCATCATCCTGTTTAATGATATCTGTTTGCCAACCAAAAAAACAGTTGTTTTCTGAACTTAGGGAGTTCTTTCCCCCACTTTATCAGGAAATTGGGAAATATATTTGCATACAGTTTCTAAAGTATAAAAGCGACAGTATCCTCAGTTCTAGGCAGACTTCTGATGCGTAGATTTTGCTAACCATCAAATTCATGTTTTTCCCCACCTGTGGTATAAGTGGCAAGTTATGAAGAAGGGGGGAAGGGTAGTCAGTGTATGTTAAGGGGTGAAATCACACTGATGGCATTGCTTTAACATCAGGTAGGGGGTTTAAAAGGCAAAGGAGGATTGACTACCTGCCATATGGGTTCAGGATTTAATCCCGCCGTATATTCTTAGCTTCTGCCTGTATCTTTTATTTTCTCTGAATCTTTCTTTTTCACTTTCTTTCTGTTATCTCTCGTTGCCTCTCCTTGCCTGTTGGGCTCCCCAGGTCTTTTCTTCCTCACAAGTTTTATTTGACATAGTGAAAGTATGTTGATAAATAGGTAAATTTCCTTCCTGTAAGAATGCTCAGAATTTATTTTTATAGTTTGGAGGGAAATTGCCTTTTCCTTAAACGTTAAAGGTGAAGTTCTTATTTTCTCAGCGTGGTGGATTCTGAGCTCCTTTTTTCCCTTCTATGGAAATAGTTCATAGCCGTGTGTATGTAAATCGGGATTCTTCGTCTAGTAAATCTCTAGAAGATTAAGAGCCAACAAGGAAAGAAAGAGCAAACCAGAGAAACAAATCAATTTATTTTACAAATGATTTACCACTCGTCAGGCTTCTGTGCTGAAATAAACAAAACATATTGCATGGATGTCCTGTTCTAGGGAGTCCACTGAGTTAGACTTTGCCTTATCTTGCTGGGTTCTTTGCAAAATGTACTTGAGGTAACTGTAGGGTCTCTGCGCTATGGCTTTGCCCACACGGTACACCTGGGACTACCTGGTTGCGTGGTGGCTTTGCGGATTCACTGAGAACTCCCAGTTAACCACGCTAGCTTATTCTCCAAGATTTACTTGGGCCGGGTTAACTTCCCTCCATGTGTGTTCAGGAACTATAAGAAATGTATCCCTGGCCCTCCCTGGTGGCGCAGCAGGTTAAAGCACAGCACTACGAAGCTGAAGCCACTTCCGCATGAGTTCGATCCCCGCCTGCCCTGGAGGAAATCCACATGACTGGAGGAAATCCACATGGCTAGGCAGACCTCTCCTGACCCTCCCACTGCTCCCCTCAGCAGTGTACTTCCTCGATCTGCCTGTTCTGCTCCCCACTCTGTCTCTGGTGAATCCCCTCACCCTCCGCGTCTCTGGCCTGTACCCCAGTTCTGTATAAAGAAATGTATCCCTGAAAACAACCACATTATAAAGGAAGGTATCTCTGATGAACACAGTACTAGTAATGACACTGCCCAGCAGTGTCCCATGGGGCAGACTGAAAGTTCAGCATGGATTATGTCACATCATGCCCCCCAACAATGTTATATAGTAGGATTGGCCAGAAAAACTCAGGATGCCCAGTTACACTTGAATTTCAGATAAACAGCAGATCACTGTTTAATGTATATAGGTTCCACGCAAATTTTGTTTGCTTAATTAAAACTATAGTTTTTTTGGCAAGAACTTAATCCTTCCTCTTTTGCAAATGAAGAAAGAGAGCTTTCTTGCTCATGGTCATATGACTAAAATTTCAACCCAGGTCCATCACCCCAGAACCAGGCCCTTAAATGTGAGACAAAGTGCAACCCTAACCATGTGCATATAACCCAGCACATGGCACTGAAGTCATCCCATAGGGCCTGTGTCTACCTCCATCAGTAGGTAGTTCCTTGCTTTTCCTTAGTGATCTAAGAAAAAGAAATCCTCCCCAGTTTTGAAAAGCTTTTCTTGGCAGAAAGATCAGGAGACTATTGTTTGTTCTTGTTCTCGCTCAGGACAGTCACCAGTTGATCTCTTAGAACAGGTTCGCCAAGGGCCTCCTCTGGAATGCTTGTTTAAAGAGTCCTTAGCGGCATTGCTTGGTTAAAAAAAAAAAAAAAATTCAATACCCAGAAATCGACAGAAAGTAGATTGAACTGTTCCCCCCCAAACTTCTATTTTTTATCTTTTAAATAGGTCTCCTGTTGTAAACTGTGTTCAAAGGTCTCTTCAGTACAGAACTCCTAGAAGTCATTCATGTTTTCATATATATTTAGTTTTCAAGGATTTTAAAATCATTTTTCAAAATTTTCTTTCTTATCCTTTGACTATAGATTCTAGCTCCTTTTTTCCCATTTCACACCGAAAACCTAGAGAGATTTTTTCTAACTTTAGAAAGAGAGAATAAAAAGTATGGTGGGTTCCTTTGTCCCCACCACCCAGCTTCTATAATTACCCATTAAGGCTAATCTTCTTTATCTAAATGATCACACACAACTACTAAATGATCACACACAACTACTGATCTAATTCAGGGAATGCCACTCTAAAGTATTCTCTCTCCCCTCCCCCGCCCCCCCATAGGGGTAAAACACAGGTTCCGGTGATCTCAGACAGACAGGAAAATCCCTTCTTAGTACACCAGGGTTTTACATACAAATGAGGTATTGAGCCATTAAATAAAAGTTTTTCTCATTCTTCAAGACTGACCACAAGGTCAAAGATAGTCTGAATGCAAATAGCCTCCAAATCTTGAACACACCATGTCTACACTAAGATGGGTAAGTTCCAGAACGTGGTCAGGCAAATTTAAACACTAGCTTAGCCAACATCCAAGGCGTCCTAAAGAGACCTCAACTCTTGTCAGTGTTTCACTGGACTTTACTGCAATAAAACTAATATGCAAGATGGAGTGATCTCGTTAATTCTGGTACATTCAGAGGGCTTCACATCCTGTCTGTAACCAAAAATTGCTAAAATGGGATTGCTACATGGTTTTCACCAAAGGCTGGAGGAGTGTGGCCTGCAATGTCCAAGGGATGATTTCAAGAATGGTGGGCAATGTTTCCTGGCGGAGGGTTTGGTCAGGGAAGAAAATAAGACTGGTGGTCACATGAGTTCAGCAATTGTGTCTGGCATTTTGCTTTTGACCCAGATCTTAGCTAACAATGGCTGTGTTTCCAGTTACCATAGTTAAGCTTCTCAGGATTAGATGCCTCTGACTCTTCATGAAAAGTTTCAGAAGTTGATGATTAGAGAACAAAACTTTTAAGAGCTCTGAAATTTGCTACACATAACCCATATGTTAATAGGTACTGGCAACATTTAGGGGTTTGGGGAAAATTGGAATACATAGTTCTTGCCTATCCAGTTGCCAATGTCTGGTGTTTAAATAAGCTGCAGACTTTGAGGTTTCTACCTCATTCCTCCTGAAAACTAAAAAAAAAATAAATAAACTCAACTTACCGTTTTGGCTGGAGCTCAGTAATGTCAGTGATGTCATAAATTTCCAATGCTATTTTCTAAAATAAAAGTTGAAAGCCAGACCTAGGAAAACATTGAACGTTGATTAATTCAATCTTCAGTGTCCTTTACAGGGTCTGTGACCATAGAGAAGTCACTGAAATTTCCATATTAACCATTTTTGAGGAATAAAATTCGTTGACATTCCATGTGTCCATATTGTTGGGTTGTCAGTGAGCCCATCCAGCTCCAGAGCTCCTTTTGTAATGTAGAATAGAAACCTCATGACCATTAAGCAATATCTTCCCTTCCTCCCCAACTCCAGCTTCCTTCTCTCCAACTTTGTGAATCTGACTACTCTGTACTGGTCCTCAAGATTCTAGGTGAGCCCTCACTCTATTTATATTTTTATTAGGGCCACATAAGTCTAGGGACTTGAAAGGGCTGGGGAAATGAGAAGCTGAGAAAGAAAGTCAGAATATTCCTGGTAGAGAAGGACACACCCCAGATTCATTCATTCATTAGAACAAACATTTCGTGTGTGTCTTGCTATAGGATTGGCACCATTGGGATCTGGGGGCTCACGACAGCAAGGATTTTGTTTTCAGGGAGTTTAGGGAGAGAGGGGAAGCCAGACACACACACATACCCACGAAACTCAGGGATAAAAACAAAACCATGTAGTGAGAGTCCCAGACAGGAGCTCCTTTGCACTGGTCAAGGGAAGCCTTGTCTCTGCCGAGGTGGCCTGTCAAGACAGACCTGACGTTACCCATTGAGTAAATATGGGCCAGCAGAAGCAAGATATTCCAGGTAGAATGTGAAGGCCCTGAGGCTGGGTCAACAATGGTTTGGACAACAGAGGGCCCCTGTGGCTAACAAGCAGGATTAGCAAGAATATAAGATAAGAACTTGGAGGTAGGCGCCTGAGAACAGGTAAGGTCTTGTGGGCCACTGGGGGCACTTGGTGTTTTGTGTAGAAAGCAGTGGGAAGGAGGTAGTCTCTAAAGTGAAGAAGCCAAGTTGCACCAACATTGCTCACAAAGCAGTTGTTGGCAGTTGGAGTAAGAGGTGGACCTGGAGTCTCATAAACTTCTCTACTGTAGTTGTGTCTATCACAGAAAAGAATGGCTTTTCTGTTTATATAAGATTTATTTTTGTCTGTTTATGCATACAAGAGCCTGGGTGTAGGCCTGAGGTGTCCGGGCATGGGGCAGAGGTGAGAGGATTCACCAGTGACAGTGGGGAACAGAACAGGCAGATCTACTGATATACACCACTGAGGGGAGCAGCAGGTGAGACAGGAAACATCTGCTGTGTCAAGTGGGTCAACTCCCTGGCCAGGGATTCAACTGAGGCCACAGTGGTTGGCAATAGCTTCATAGCTCTGAGACTTAACCCCTTACACCACTAGGGAGGCCCAGAAAAGGTTTAACAGAATGAGAGAACACTATAGAGTTCTAAGCAATCAACAGAGATATTTCCACTGACAGAGATATTTCCGCTCTTTTGCAAAGAGGACCTGATTGCTGTGTGGTGAGAGGAAATGGACCATCCACCCCCCTGCTCACTAGAACCCCCACAGCATGTGCCCCACCCCTGGTCAGCTGACTCCCCAGAAAAGGACCCTTCAGGGGGAGACCAAACCTTGATTCATTTTTGAAAAGTTCCTTCTGATTAAGAGGAGAAACAGAATGTGAGGTGGTAGTGAAGCGAGGGTCTAGCAATCGTGAAAATGAGGTGACCTGGGATCTTTATACACCATTGAGCATGGCTGGACCTGTCCTCACAGGGAATTGGGGAAGCAGGAGACAGCAGGAGGTAGGCATCTGCAAAACCAGGGAGGGTCGTGGAGACATCAGGGCTTGTCCTCACCTTGGACACCTTCCTGCAGCGGTCACCACCTAGGCTGGCAGCTGGCAGTAGTCTTGCTGCCCTCCCTGTCCTTTAGTTTCTAAGGAATTTCATTGAACGTGATTGCCAGGCTTAGAGCACAGGATATAATTCTGGCAGAGCAGCACTTAAGAAAATTGCCCTACCACAGACTTCAAAGAGCACGGGCTGATGGTCCAGCCCAGTTGGCAAAACTCCAAGCTTCAGAATGCCCTGTGTGCTGGAGGCATGTATGTACAGGCACATACGCATATACACACACACACGTACTCTCTTTCTCTCTGATTCCTTACTGGAGATAAGGGTGCTTTTATGCAATTTCAATAAGTTCACAGCACGTTGAGCCACTGGCTTGGAAACCCTTGAAACCTACTGGAACGTAGGTGAGTTCTACTGATTCCAAACTTTTTTTTTTTAAGGCTCATTTATTTATTTATGTGTACAGAATGGGGGTACAGGCCAGAGGTGCAGGGACAGTGAGAGGATTCACCAGAGACAGAGTGGGGAGCAGAACAGACAGATCGGGTGAAATACTCTGCTAAGGGGAGCAGTGGGCAGGTCAGGAAAGGTCTGCTGAGCCATGTGGGTCACTTCCGGCCAAGGAACACACCTGAGCTAAAGGGGCTGCAGTGAGCTTTGTAGTGCTGTGCTTTAACCCTTTGTGCCACCAGGGAGAGCCCAGATTCTGACCTTTAAGGCAAAAGAAGAACATAAGAAAGCTCACAGCCCATGAGCAGGCCCTGCTCCTTAAAACAATCTTTGGTAATTACACCGTGTTTCTCCCCAGGTCATCTGTTCTTCAGTTGCATAAATTACATCTTTGGTTTTATTCTTTAAGTAATGTTTGGGTTTCTTACATCAGGCTTTGTTTCTCTGATGCAACACCCCTCCCAACACCCGCTACACAGACACAAACATACGCACACTGTGAAGAGTTTATGGAGGAGAGCTGATACAGACACGCCCTAAATCCCAGATTATCGTCTTCAGCGGATGGGACGCTAAGGAATGTGTTTGGGTTTAGAGAAATGAGTCCCTTAGATGGGATTAAAGTGCCGGGCACTGGAGACCTTGGCCTGCGTTCAGATCTTTGTTCTGCCAGATCTGTGTTGTGTAACCTAGAACAGCTGGCTTCCCTAAGGTTACTTTCCTCCTTTGTGAAATGCAGATAACAACAGTAACGGCTCTGTAGAACTGATGAGAGGATTAAATATGAGAAGCACTTAGCACAATTTCTAGGGTAAAACAACCATTCAAAAAATACTGAATCGTGTTTGTGTTGATAGCCTGGGAAGAAGCATTGTTCGTTACTGTATCTCCTGCCTGACGCTAACCCAGTGGCTCTTGCATTTAGGAGACACCTGGAAGCCTCTGGAGAACTTTTTGGGTCTCACAGCTGGGTAGTGATATTGGTCTCTGCAGGACAGCCTCTCACAGGAACTGTCCAGCCCAAAATATTGGCAGCACTAGTGGGAGAGGCCAGAAGGAAGCGTGCCCACGGGTTGATTCGCAAACTGAACCCAGGAAATCTGAGGCTCCTTCCACACCTCACCTGTCCCCCCTCCCGCCAATCCAGGGTGCATTCCGCTTCCTTCCCCTGCTTCCAGGAGCATTGAGGTAGCCTTGTAGCATTGAGACCACCTACATAGTATGTGACTGAGCACAGTTGAGACTTCTATATAAACCTTGAAGATTTGACAGGGGCTGGTGTAGAAGCTGAGTTCCTTCATTCATTAAAATGGCCTCCCATCCATCCAGAGTGTTCTGCCTCATTCTTGAGTGTCTCTCCATCCTCCCTATAAAGAGGCTGGTTTCAGATTCTACCTGGGACATTCCAGAGGTTGGGCTCCAACAGGTACTGGGGTTGAGAAATCCTGGAAACTTAACAAAGTGGATTTATAATCTATTGAAACTGTGTAACAGCTTCAGTTACTCAGATCTGGGAAAGTTTGCACAATTGCGTGGCATCTGAAAACATCTAACATGTGATTCAGCTACAGAAAAAGCTGAGATCCAGTGGTTTAGAGGAAAGTCTATTATGATGAGCAGAGGCAAAACATCTATGAAGTTTTAATATACAGCTGTTTGCAGGTGTTCAGACATGGAGATCGAAGCCCCATCCAGACCTTTCCAAATGACCCCATTAAGGAATCCTCGTGGCCACAAGGATTTGGCCAACTCACACAGGTTGGTTCTATTTTCAGGTAATGGTTATTGATGCATCTCAGGGGAAAAAAACCGCTTTGGGGCTTGTATTCTCTTGAAACCACATGACTCCTTTCATTACTGAGATCTGACAAAGCATTCTGAACATCTACCTGGAATCTTACGTTGAAGGTATTTTTTTATTACAAAACGAGAGGCACCTGGGGTTACTTTTGATCAATTCTGATCTGACCACATCAGAAAAAGTGAATAGAGTTGCCTGTTTTGATCTTTTTTACCCTGTTGATTTTATGAAAGCCTAAGAGCTGAGATGGACAACAGAAGAATAAAAGAACTTAGAGATGCTGAAGAAAGACAAGAGGTATTCATAAGCCAGCTCTGGAGTTGCTCAGACTCCACCTGAAAATACAAAGATAATCTTGTAATCGGCAAACTGAACCAGCAGAATCTGGAAAATGTTTCTTGGGAAGTTCTGACACCAAATATAATTTTTTGCCAGCTGGAGATATCTGGTAGAGAATCCATGAGAACAAAAAAGTCAAGGGCACAAGATCACACGTTTGGAAGATGGAATGCATTGGTGGGAAGAACTCAGGGTCCCAGCCCCTTAATTATGCTGAGTTAAAACTACTTAAATGGGGGCCCTCCCTGGTGACACAGTGGGTTAAAGCACAGCACTAAGAAACTTAAGCCACTTCCACATGAGTTCCCATGAGTTCGATCCCCGCCTGCCCTGGAGGTGACCACATGTCGCGGCAGATCTCTCCTGACCCGCCCGCTGCTCCCCTCAGCAGTGTGCTTTGTCTATCTGCCTGTTCTGCTCTCCGCTCTATCTCTGATGAATCCTCTTGCCTTCCCTGCACCTCTGGCCTGTAAACCAGTTCTGTATGCATAAATAAATAAATTTTTTTTAAAAAGCTGCTTCAGTGGAGCCTCCAGTCTTTTCTGGGGGAGCAGCACACAGCCCAACCCCTGAGGCTGAATCCCTTAGGCCAAAGTGCATCTGTTTTCCTAAAACCTTGCTTAGTGCTTGCAGAACTAGAATCCCCATTATTTCTATTTCTCCGAGAACTCAAGAACCCAGAATCCAGTAATACCAGAACACCCACATCAAATTCCACTAAATTGTTGGATGGGCACACAGAACTCAAGAAACCTCTTTACTCCCAGTTCACCAATTTATTCCAAAGGATGTGAATGGACAGTCTGGTGGAAGAAATGCTTAGGGCAAGCTATGGAGGGTGGGGGGTGGGGGTGGGCTTCAATGGTCAGTCCAGGTACAACATCTTCTCCCAAACCTCCAAAGCTCACTGACACAGAGGCTCTCCAAAGTGCCTTCCTCTTGGGCTTTACAGACTTTATTCTGTAGGAATGAGTGAGTGAATCAGCGGCCTTTAGCAACTAAACTCAACCTCTAGTCCTCAAGCCTCACAGGAAATCAGGGGGAGAAACTACTGGACTCCATCCTTGAAGATCCTAGTTCAGTAGGTCAAGGGTGGATCAAAGAAGCTGAGTTGTAATCTACTCCCAGGTCATGCTAAGAGTAGATCCAAAGAGCAGACTTTGAGTAACAGGTTGTGTTTATTTATCTTTTGAATGAGCCAGGCATAAGTAAACTGGGCAAATAATAAACCATTGCACTCAGGGCTTGAAGGTTACCTGCGGAGATTCCTCATGTGCCACCTCTGTCAGATGGTTGAATTTCTCCACACAACTCCCTAAGTAGTCGACCAGCCAGTGACTTCTTCCAGCAAAGATGAAGCCCTGAAATCTCTACCACACCCAAGATGGAGCACTTACTTCGATCAGTCACCAGCTGTGAACTGTGCAAGGCTCCATGTTAAGGGCTAATTAAGATGAGTGCATTTTCTTAGGGAGTTGAGACTCCAGATCATAGCTCTTTCTCATTTCCACTTAAATATGTGTTGCCATGGATTTTTAAAAAATATTTATTTATGCATGCATGCAAGAGCTGGTGTGCAGGCTAGAGGTGCAGATGGGTGGTTGAGAGGATATTGGGGAGTAGATATTGGGGAATAGAACAGGTGGAAACATTGCTAAGGGGTGCAGTGGGCGAGACAGGAGGTGGGTCAGCTCCCTGTGGCTGCAGATAACTTCATAGTGCTGAGGCTTCACCCCTTATGCCACCATGGAGGTCTTGCCATGGGTCTTTTAAAGGACACCACTGTTCATACTGCACGTTCTTGAGAGATGACACCCTGGGATGAGATTTACAGAACTCACTCGATTTTCCTTTTACTTGTTTCCATAGGTGGGCATGCAGCAGCAATATGCACTCGGAGAGCAGATAAGGAGAAGATACGGACTTTTCTTGAATGAGTCCTACAAACGCGAACAGGCAAGTTGAGAAGTTTAGATGGACATGTTGCCCTTGGAGGATTTTTTTTTTTTAGCTATTCTTTTATATATATATATATATATATATATATATATATAAAACAGTTTATTTTTACATCATTTTGTACATTTTTTTTTTCATCTCAATTATAATCCCCATGGGTTTCCCATCACCAAGTCACCCGTGTGCCATCACCATAATCCCGTGCACTTCCCTCCCCACCACCCCCCACTTCCTTTGGAGGATTTTTAACATAAGGTTACACTTGGAAAAGGGTTCTGCCTGATCCCCCAGTCAGGCAAAGCAGAGATTGTGTTTATAAATGTATTATCTTGTGCAATGATTTTGTCCCCCAAAACTCACGACTATGGCTCAATTCAAATTTGATGGACACCTATCATAAATATTTTGACGAGGCAAGTAGTCCCCCCATAACTGGTCTCTTGTCCATTCAGACAGGTTATTTTATTTATTGGCATGTTCATAATCCTGCGTCTTCCATAACAGGTTATGACTATGAAGCTTCCGCCGTGTCTGCCAGTCTTTTCGTGCGTGTGTCTTGCTTTTTCTCGAGATGCTATTAACTCCAGAGGGAAAAAACCCACAGATCCTCTCAGCTGCATTCTGCTTCGATTTTCTTGCTCTAGGTTTATGTCCGAAGCACAGATGTCGACCGGACTTTGATGAGTGTCATGGCAAATCTTGCAGGCCTATTTCCCCCCCAGGACAGCAGCATCTGGAACCCCCGGCTACTCTGGCAGCCCATCCCAGTGCACACGGTGCCACTCTCTGAAGATCGGGTCAGTATTCCGGAAAAATCGGGAGTTGCGCCAGGCCGGGAGGAGGGAGGAATTCTGCTTAGCACTTGTGGCTTTGGAGGCCAGACACTGGATCACGAAGTCTTGATTCCTTCCTATATAATGTGCATGGGATATCTCTGGCTCTTTCTTTCTTGTCTCTTTATCTCTTCATTCAGTGCTGGCATTTTGTCTGCCTCCGTTTTACTCTCTTGCTTCCCAGTTTCCTGCCTTAAGTTCATTGGTTTTCACTGTCCCACACAGTTTTTTTTCTCCTTTCAGAAGATCCTCAGACCTTGTGATCTGCAAAATTCCCCTCCCCATGGAGATTCTCACTCCTAGGTAGAGGGTAGAGGGTAGTAAAACAATTTGAGAGACTAATTACTGCCTAGCACTTTCTAAGCATCGTTGTATTTCCTTTCCAACAACCTTAACTAGACAACAGTAGCACTCTTCTTTGATAACCAGGGAGTTGAGGACTCAGAGAAGTCTGGCAAGCAGAATGGGACCAAAGCCCCAGAGCTGGTCCCTATAAACAAATGGTCCTTAGTCAAAATTAGCTCCTTAGTCAAATCACCCGGCTTACTTTTTAAATCGCCGTCCAGGTCACCTCCACACATCTCCAAGGATGAGACCCAGGCAACACTGTTTTACAATAATCCCCCATCGCATTTCCCATGGAGAGCCAGTGCCATAAACTAAGCTGCCTGAATGAGCCCATGACAGAGAAACTCTGAAATTTATTTACACCAAGTGGGACTGAGCAAGAGTGCACTAACCTTTTCAGAGGGACTGTTGTTTTTTTTTTAAATACAATAAATTCTTTTGTGTGGAACCCAAGGCCGCAGGAAGGACTAAGAGCCCTTTGCAGTGCCCCCTGCAGGGCATTATGAGTATCACATCAGCCCGTGGTTGAGGCTTGGCGTGACCCCTGGACATCGGATACTACGCCCAGTGGCCTCCGAGGTAGCCACCGTCTCCTCGCCTTGCCCGTCCTCCTAGAACTTTAACTGAACTGTTGCAGCTGGTGATTTGAGAATTTCCCCCAAATGCTTTGTAGAACAGTCCTATCCTGCCCACTTAACTCTCTACAAATCTACCCACCCAACTTTTTTGGTGTTTTCCAGAAAAGACAAGATGATCTATTTATGCCTTTTCCTTCATAGAATCAAGAGTGAAGTAATTTGATTGCAGTGTTCGTAGGAAAGGAGTTTGTGAATAGTTGTTAGCAAAAAGAAAATAAATCACCTTGATCGCAAACTTCTCTGAGAGAGAAAGGTGGAGAATGTCAACAAGGTTAGCTGATGGAGACCCAGGTCCTGTTTAATCCTTGTTCCTGAAACATAGTCATTAATTATGCAGTAAAGAGGAGGTCAGCTTTGCGAGAAGAGCCAGGAGAGGGAGGGAAAAGCAAGTCGTGTTACAAGACAGTGAAAAGGGAACCCCTGAATCGACCCCCAAACCTGCCTGTTCTAAATAGGTTCTGCCATCTACCACATCAAGACAAAATATATAAGACCTTTCATGGAAAGGAACTTTAATACAATCAGTGTGCAATACAGAAAAGACAAAGAATATAGTTTCTAAATCAAACACCCAAAGTTACCCGTCCCCTTATGGGTAAAAGTCCACCCAAAGAGGACTGGCCCAAAGCAAGGCTTGAAAGCCGCCACAAGACTAAATCACCTTCTGGCCGGGACCCATAGAAAAGGGTCAGAAATGGCCAGACAAGTCTGGGAGGAAAAGAACAAAATTAAAATCGAGATAAACACTGCTGCAGTCAGCCTCTCCACAGGTCTCTCACCCACATCTGTTTCAACCAGTCCAGGGCCAAGAGGCAAGACCTGCCTCTTCACAGGTCTCTGCTCCCTGTGCTTCCTTGGGTCCCCCCCCCCCTCCTGCTTCCTTCCTCTTCAGTCTCCTCTCCAGATTCCTCACCTCCCTGTTCAACCCCACCCTCCTTTTGGGTGGGGCAGGGAACCTGGAACCTCCCCTTTTCCTGGGGACCACTCTCTTACAGTAGGACAAAACCATCTACCTGTGGCTCTCAGTCTCCTGCCACGAAGGCAAAAACAGTTCTACCATCAGCCTCCAAATCTCACAAAATCAGTTAACATAAAGTCATTCCTGGAGTTAACCAAGTCATGGGTCATTGTTGTGGGATGATAATATTATTGTTAACAAAAGGAAAAGAGAAGACACAGGGGAAATGGTTAAAATTGAAGACAGTTAAGCTTCATGTTAAATTTGAGGAAGAAGAGAAATCAGCAAGAAGTGATATTCACCAAGGATCAGAAACTCAGTTCTAGCCACAGATAGAAGAGAGAGCAACAAATAGAAACTTGGTATCACCAAGCAGCAGATTGTAGTTAACACAACTAGACTGTCACATTTAATGAACGGGTGTCCTTATTGTAACATTCTGTGAATTTGCAAAAGTAAAGCAACAAGTAGTTAATAGATCTATTAGGATTCTTTCCAGAACTTTTAATTCATTTCCCTGTCCTGGGGAACGTGTGCACATACACATCCGTGAACACACACATACAGAGACACATCCATTGCTAGAAATGAAAAGGGGCAGGAGGAATCAAGGTCACCGTGATCATAAGCCTGGAAAACCAAGGAAGGGGAACAAGGAACAAAAAGAAAAGCCCAATGGAAAAAAAAAAAAAAAATGGCATTCACTTCTGGGGAGCTACCCAACATTTTAAGCCCAATAGACCATATATCTCTTTCCCCTTAATTTTAGAATTTGCTTTCAGCTCAAAGCACATTTGAATGTCTTATTCTTCGGGCTAACCAAGCATTTTGGTATTTCTTTTGTCCTCAGTTGTTATACCTGCCTTTTAAGCACTGTCCTCGTTTTGAAGAACTGGAGAAAGAGACTTTGACCTCGATGGAATTCCAGGAGCGGCTCCTTCCTTACAAGGTTTAAAAAGAGTGTTTTTCTTGAGTGTTTATATCAACATTGTTGCTTACTTTTTTGAAAGGTTGGTGTTTTAATATAATCAAGTTACTTTTGTTCTTGGATCAGTGAATGACTCCGAAGAATTAGGTCTACTGATGAACTATCTTTTCACTTCTGGGATCAACTCCCTTCTTTTAACATGACAATGAATTGTTCCCCATTATTTTATCTTGACTTTTTGCATTGTCATTCAAAGTGAATTGTACTATAGTTTTCTTTCCTGACCAGTCTTTGTCGTATCACTGCTGTACTTAGTGCATACCAGAATTTCAGAAGAACTTTTCTGAAGGCCACAGAACAGTTAAAACAGCATTAGAAAAATTGACATTTGAAAAATTTGGTAGAATTCATCCATAAAATTATCTATCCCTGCAGCTCACATTTTGTTTTGGAGGGGGTGGACTGCAATAATTATTGTTTCCTTAATGAAAATAATAGGGTTACTATTGGCAGATGCTATTTTCCCAGACCATATACCCATTAGGCAAACAGTATCTTCCAAGCCATTTCCCAGAAAATGCTGTTTCATCAGGCAGATAACTGAGCAGCCGTTCTGATCCTCATGACTCTCCAAGAACAGTCCAGAACCTCATGGGAATTTGCATCCAAATGTCACTGTCAGTCACCAAGCCCCCTTTTTGCTGCGCTTTCCTGGGGTGCCTTGGCTGGAGGCACAATTTCAGTCTCTCCTTGCTCACTTAGTTGAGCTCACTTAGTTGTGAATCGCCCTTCATTTGCTTTCAGAAAGCATCCAGCTGGTGCAATAAGGTCTGGTTCCAGGGAAAGCCAGGGACCCATGGCAGTAAGCCAACCATTGTCCACATTTTAAAAAAAAATAATGTAATAGCTTATTTTTACATCATTTTGTGTCTTTTTCCATCTCTGTTGTAATCCCCGTGGGCTTCCCACACCACATCATTCATGTGCCATTACCGTAGTCCCGTGCACTTCCCTTCCCCCCATTTTTGATCCCATTCCCCACTCCACCCCCACAAAATGTCTCTGGTATATGGTCGTTCATTATTATTATTTTCTCCCCTGGTCCTTTATACTCCTGATACGAGTGAAACCATCTGGTCTTTTTCCTTTTCTTTCTGGCTTATTTCACTAAGCATGGTCCCTTCCAGCTCCATCCATGTTGCTGCAAAAGGCATGTGTTTTATCTCTTTTGGTTGCTGAGTAATATTCCATTGTGTATATGTACCACATGTTTTTAATCCAGTCATCTACTTTTGGGCATTTGGGTTGATTCCATGTCTTTCTGATTGTAAATAAAGCAGCAATAAACATGCCCATATTTTTTTATTAAAGATTTATTTGTATATGCATACAAGAATTGGGGTGTAGGACAGAGGTGCGGGGGATGAGAGGATTCACCAGAGACAGAGTGGGCAGAAGAACAGGTGGATTGACTGAAATACACTGCTGAGGGGAGCAGTGGGCCTCCAGGAGAGGTCTGCTACATCATGTGGGTCAGCTCCCTGGCCAGGGATCGAACTTCTGCTCAGAAGCTACTATAGCTTTATGGTGCTGAGGCTTAACCCCTTGTGCCATTAGAGGGCCCTGCCCACATTATAATCATGAGAAATGATCAATTAGTATTTATACAATTTTTCATTTTCGTCTTATCACTAAATTATGTGAGTTCTCATAAACTGGCATTCTTGATGAGAGGCCAATGATACTTTCAGCACTTTACTGGAAACAGTGAAGGACTGGAGATGAAGCTGGCTCTGATAGGCAGAGGCCAGAGATACTACTAACACCCCACAAGGCATAAGGCAAGCCCCCCACACATGACAAAGAATGACCCACCCCAAAATATCAATAATGATGAAGTTGAGAACCCTACTTAAAAAGTATTTACCCTGGCCCTTCCTGGTGG